TGCGTTAATTTTCCTTCCATAGTGTTGCCTCTCCAACATATTGCCAAAATAAATAAAAAAAGGCTTCACAATTTTTCTCTATTTAAGAAGCTGTGCACCCTCACTTGTTCTCTTCGTCTATATGCTTTTCCATGAAAATTGCCGTATGTTTGTTGTGAATGTAAAAAAAAAAAAAAAAAAAAGTTTAATCTCAAAGTAGTATACCGGGTGGCAGAGCTCTTTTAATTTATAAACCATACTTTACTTGTAAGATTGCTCGATGTACGAATAAATAAAGAGACAAGGTTCAATTTTATCTTTTTCTTTTTAATATAAAAGGGGCAAGATTACACTTGAAAAGTACGAAAAACAGCAAAAAACTACACTAGGTCATTCCTAAGGCGAGAGAGATAATCAGCTGGTGGGTGCCACATCATGATCATTTCTTCTGTGAGCATATGTGCCTCCTTGGCGAGGTGGTCAGCGCATTTTATATTCATCCGAGGTGTATAGTTAATCTTGAGATCCCAATCAGAGTATATAAGACTTCTTAGCTTCAGTATGTGTGGTCGTAGAGGATGTTGGAGACCTCCATCTACCATAAGCATATGGTAAACTTCCATAGAGTCCGTAAAAGCCATAACTTTGCTATATCCATGTTGTTTACAGATTTCCAGCCCTGTTAGTAATGCCATTAGTTCTGCTGCCGTGGAGGGTAGGAAGCCCAATTTCTTTTTGAATCCAACGAGCCACTGTCCTGCTGAGTTCCTTACTAAACCTTCACATGTCGCGAGTCTCATTGCGTTGACAGATCCATCTGTATTCAACCGAACATAACCTTCAGGCGGTGGGATCCACTTGACTTCCTTATCTGTGCATGAGCCATATATTTGATGCTTGAGATCTCCCTGTTCTGCAGTCTCTATGAGCAGGTGTAGTCCCGCATGTACGAGTTCCTTCTCATGGCTTCGCTTTTCCTCCATGACTCCTCTGCATCTGTTCTTCGATAGTAGCCAGCAAATCAAGGCGAAAACTTTTATCCAATGCTACTGTGCAAACTGATTATTGCTGAAATTCTCCGTGAAGTTTTGCCGAATCCAATCCCGAAAATTTTATCTCGAAATTACCCTTCAGTAAAAGTTTTTTGAGCGATGTCGCGTCAAAAACTGCCAAAACGTAGCAATATCGCCCACATCGTTAAAAAAGTTAATTTTGACTGTTAAATTTTTCTTATTGACCAATCGATGCTGACATGAATTGTGAGCTGAAAAGGGCTTTATATAAAAGGGGAAAAAAGAAAAAAACTTAACCAGAGGACACTGGTTCATCGGACTATCGAGATTCAACTCAAAAACTCCTTCTCTAAAATCATTGTTCATTGTCTCGGTGAGGGGAGCTTCAGATCTTCTCACTCATCTTTAACATATATCCAGGTATACTAATTTCAGATTTATAGCTATAGTCTCAGCTCTCAACTAGTCAGCAGTTCAAATTTATATGCTTGTTTCAAGATAGGTGTTCATCGAAGAGGACGTTGGTTCGCTAAAAGTACCCATCAGAACCCCTGATGAACGCCAGAGAGTATACCAGAGGACACATGGAGCTCGAGATCTGAGGCTATCATCGGCCATGTGTACTGAGAAGGAGAGGACGTCGATGACTAGACAAAGGACATTGGAGTGAAACTTCAAAAAATGATTAGGTGCAATTGCAAAGGGATTGAGGTCGGAGGAGGTGTTTTCGGCGAAGAAAAAAGCTCGGCGCGCTGCTGCGTGCTAAGCGAAATTGGAAGCTTAAGGTAACTTGATTGGAAGTGCATAGGAAAACAAACTATGCCATTCTGATACTGGCGAGACTAGTAGGGAACGTAAAGATTTTTTTTTTTTTAAGCAAAGGGAACATGAGGAGTTTGAAGAGCGTAAAATAGGAAGTGGAGAGAATTTCTGGGATTGTTCATATTAAGAGACCAATTTATGAAACTTTTAGAAACTCCTATCTTGTTCCAAATTTTCAATCCGAAGCTGGCAAAGAGAAAGAGAATTAAATGTTGCCGCTGGAGGAAAGAGAAGCTAAAAGGAATCTTACCCATATGGACCACTTCCTGCCACGTGGCTTATAAAAAGGGAGGTAGATGCCACATCAGCATAATGAGTCAACTAACATTTGACCATTTGGAGTGTTAAATTTGGATGACATTATTACGTTTTGGCAACTTCCAGGATAATATTACTCTTAAAAAAACTCAGATGCCCGCGGCTCGTAAGGGACAACTTTTGGGACAAAATTGGATCTTATCCCATAACTAAATGCTGATGTATATGTTGGACACCTGGACTTGAACAAGAAGATTTCTTTTGGTCTGTTTAACTGCTATGACAAAAGGGTCCGCTTGAAAATCACGTTATAAATTCAGTGTTAACTATCATGTTGCCAATTGAAATAGATTTTAACCAATAGGAGTTGGGTTTAGCAGAGTGGTTAGTCTCCCACAACGTGATAAATAAAGGTTTAAATCCTCATTGAGAGAAGTGCCACATTTAGTGTCGACAGTCCTCGAATAGGATTACCTCTAATAGAAGCATACCTATGCTTTAGCAAAAAAAAAAATTTTAGAGATAAGCTTGAATAACTCTGGTAGCTCGCACTGTTAGAATTTCTTTTGGTTTTGAGTTTATTTAAGTTGAATCTGGCCATTAACAAAGAAAGACAAACAAAGCTTGACACTAGTCAGCCACAACTGCCAAAACTAATAATTCTTCACATGACATTGCACCTTCTTCAAATCAGAAAGACCCACCAAATCTTTAAAGGTCCTATATCGCACAGAACGGTTTCCCGTTCTTGCAATAACCATACCCACCGAAGCAACTTCACCTACAAGGTGGTCCGTTGCTTGGAGGCAATGGTCCTCCCCTCTTGCTGGGTCATCCGATGCTGGCCGGCAAAACTCTTGCAGTTATGGTGTGAGGACCTTCCTCAAGAGGCCACCTGCTAACCCTAACTTATTTTATCGCGCTGAGTAGTGAGTACTCCTTTAAGTTATCCTCAGAAAGGTTGAGAACTGAAAAAATGAAAAGGCATCTCATTCTTCTTTTCCAATGGCACTACCAGAAAACAGGGGAAAGATTTCAAATATTGTGACAGACGCTAGTGGTAACTTCGAAATTTATCAGAATAACTCAATGATGCCTGGTCATCAGCTCAAGTTGATCAAGAAATACCAGGGAATTCAAATGTGGAGTGAAACTGCTTTTCATTCAGCTTTAGGAGTAAAATTATTGCTCAAAGTACAGGCTACTTGGTTATTTCAGCCCAGATAAATGATTAACCATATCATGGACATTTCAGCTAAGGAGATGATTGGAGGTGTAGGCAATGGAAGTGTTGGGAGGCCATTTGGCCTGCCAGGAGTGTGTCGGGGATAGCTCCTGAAAAGGATGCTTCGTGAATTGAATTTGCAAGTGAAGAGGATGCTACAGATGAGCTAGAAGATGCTGTTATAGGATCAACAAAAGATAAACATGAGGAGGCAACGGGAGATGACGCTAGCTCCAGTGCTCAAGAAACGAAGAATCAGAAAATGACCCTAAAAATTCCACAACAGCTAGTCCTAAGGATTCCTCCTCTTATTACTAACAACTGCGGATGGCAATGTTGGAACAACTGTTAATGTAACATGGAACTGCTCAAAATTTTGTGGGGAGCAGGATGCTTAATTATATCAATGGTCTGCCAAACAAATACTCCCTTCCTGTCTGTATATAAGTCGTTTCAGATATGATATACATATGTTAAGGAAAACTGTTAGATTCTTTTATTTGTTAAAATATATGTCAATATTCTAATTATATCTTTATTAATTAAAGAGTGTAAATATCATTCATTTTTATAATTTGTGCAATCTCATGATTATGTAGAGGTAAACATAGGATATCCTTATTCTTTATATTCATAAATAAATAGCTTTGGCCGTCTCACTCCGTTTGGAAGAAAACACAGGTTCGAATATTGGGAAACGTATTTGTTGGAAGGCTTTAACTGTTATGCTTTTAACTTGACAGATATTAGTCTTAAACCCAAATTGAGGATGTTCTGAATTGTATTATTTAAAAAAAGAAGAAGCAACTTTGGCTATTAATTTTGACGGACCCATCCAATTCAAAAGTAATAAGCCGAAAACTTATCACAAATTGTGCAATAAAGGTTTCTTCTTTTCGTTTTGGGAGAATTGTAATTAGGTCCCACTTAAGAGAATTAAATACAAAAAAATCCCTTGAAATTATAAAATTATTCTGAAATCCCAAGACATTTTTTTGCAATAAAATTTATTTGTTTAATTACCAAATTACTTTTTTTTTTTTAAGTTTGCATTGACAATGAAGAAGCAGTGGTTGATAACTTAGAATGCAATAATTGACAACTATCACGACAGATTTGACAACTCATGCGTTACATTTTGTGATATACTGAGAAAATGTGTTGTCAAACCAGCCGTGATAGTTGTCAATCCTTACACTTTAAGTTGTCAACCACTGCTTTTTTAGTTGTTAATGCAAACTTTAAAAAAAAAAAGTTATTAAACAAATAAAAGTTATTGCAAAAAAGTTTATTGAGACTTCAGAATAATTTCATAATTTCAAGAGATCTTTTTGTATTTAATTTTCTTGGGTGGGATCTAATTGCAATTCTCTCTTTCTTTTTTCTCATGTCATTCTCCTTTTCTTTTTCCTCTAGGCCTCTACTCTCCCATTTTCTGATCCTAAACATTTGATCAAAGTTCCAACAGTTTTTTAATAGTATTAAATCCGAACTAATAATGTGGCTATTTGGAGTCATGTTTAAGTAGTGTTTAAGCAACTTTTAACGGCTTAAAGCATTTTTGGCATGTTTGATGGTATGTGGAATAACTTAAAAAATTAAGAGCTTATATCAAAATAGCAGGATTAAGTCCAAAACTATTTTTTTTTTTTGGTGACAAGAGAGGCCAAACGCCTAGAGACAAAACAAAGACAAAGCTCAAATTACACGTGTCTAAAAGTCCCTATTCCTAATGCATCCCTATCCAACACTTCAGTTACTTCGACAGGTGGCTGGATCCAAACATATTTCTTACACGCCAGCTTGCTGCTTAAGTTAGCTAACAGGTCTGCAACTTGGTTCCCTTCTCTCTCTACATACATAAACTTGATCTCCCAGTCTCTCATGATAAGTTCTTCAATCATGCTCGAGATGAGGTAGTACCCCGAGATCCTTCCGTTCCGGTGCAGCTCTGTTATTAGAGTCGCATCATCACTTTCGACCTCCACTTTCTTGAATCCTAACTCCCAACATAATTTGAGTCCCTCCATAACTCCCCATGCTTCCGTCTCTCTTACTGTACTAGCGTTTAGTTGGATGGCGAAACCTCTTATCCACTCACCTTGGTCCCCTCGAATCACACCCCCACAACCTGCTACTCCTCATCTTCTCAAGATTCCATCTGTGTTCATCTTACACCATCGTGATCTCGGTGGCGACCATTTTACTAATCTGACTTCTTGTTCTACTCGCTGCATATTCTCGCCGTTCCATCTGCACATGTAATTTCTGAGGTACTGTTTGATGCTTAGCTCGGTATTGCTTGGGATGTCTTCTCCATGTCCATGAATACGCAGATTCCTCCATTTCCAAATTGCCCAGCACCCTGTAGCAAAAATTTCAGGCCAAAAAGCATAATCGTGCCTTCTAGCCTGGTTTTCAATGTTAGATTCTAACTAGTTCCGCCATTGGCTCGAGAAAAATTCACTTCTCTTCTCCCCCGGTACCAGATTAATCCATGTAGCCCTCGCCCACTCACAATCTCTCAGCACATGTAATCCATCCTCAATTTGTCCTTGACACCATCTACATTCGCCGTTGCTTCCGTCCCACCTTTTGGAGATGCTTGCTGTGGTTAACCTGTTGTGTCCCGCAATCCATACAAAGGTTTTGATTCTTTCAGGGACCTGTAACTTCCACACTTCCTTCCAGAACTTGCTTCTTACACCTTCGTGCCCCCCTTTCAACCATCTATAAGCACTTCTCGTGGTGAATTCACCGTTTCCGGTGAGAATCCACTTCATACGGTCACTTTCCCGCTCCCTCTTTCGTGGAGGGATGGAGTTTGCTATTTTTTCAAGAATCCTTCGTGGTAGCCACTGCTGTATCTCAGTAAGACACCAATTTCCTTCCTCATCTACCAGATCGCTGACTCTCAGGTTCGAGTCAATATTTGAATCTGGTAGAATATATGAGCTTAACTTACTCTCTCCGCTTATCCACTTGTCTGTCCACACATTCGTATTGTGTCCGCTCCTGATTTCCACCCTTACCGCCTCCTGGAAGGTCTCCACCATTTTAACTAATTCCCTCCATAGCTTGGAGTCATAGTTCTTTGCCACCAATTCATTTTTTCTTCTCCCTCTTCCCCCATATTTCTCTTTGAGAATTTTAACCCATAGCTCGTTTGGACGTACATTGATCTTCCACAGCAATTTGAGTAAGAATGCTTCATTCATACACTGTAAAGACTTTATATCAACTCCACCCCACTCCTTCGGTCTGCATATCGTTTCCCAGGACACTTGATGCCTCTTCCTGCTACTCCCCTGTTCTCCCCAAATGAATCTTCTCTGTTCTTGCTCAAGAGCGTTTGATATACCCTGTGGCAGGCGGTCATGCTGCATTGTGTATAATGCCATGGAACTTGCAACAGACTTCACCAGCGTGATACGTCCTGCCAGAGACAAGCTCTCTGCTTTCCACCCATTTAATCTTCTCTTCATTCTTTCAATAACCAGCTTATACTTATCTTTTCTTCTTCTTGGGTGCACAATTTCAGCGCCCAAATACCTCCCCAAATCCTCCACTTCTTTAAATTTGCAGATATCACATATATGCTTCTTGTCTGCCCTCTTCACATTAGGCGAGAAGTAGATTTGGGTCTTTTCACAACAATGATTTTCTGTCCTGAGCTCCTGTTAAACACCTGCAAACAGTTTAAAACAAGTTCAATCTGGTCAGTGGTAGCCTTGGCAAAGAGCACGAGGTCATCAGCAAACATCATGTGGGATAAAATAGGACCCTCTCTCCCCGATTTTCACCTCCTCTCCATTTTTTCTCTCTCACTCGGTCTAAGATGAGGTGTGTGAGCTTTTCCATGCCAAGCACAAATAAATAAGGAGAGATTGGGTCTCCTTGGCGAAGGCCTCTCGTGGGGAGAAACTGTTCTAACCTTTCTCCATGCCAAAGAATTTTCGTGGAAACTGAGGTGACGCAGTGCATTATCCTGTTCCTCATTTCATCCGGGCATTGAAGTTCCTGTAGGACTTTGCCTAAAAAATTCCAATTCATCCTGTCATAGGCTTTCTCCCAGATCCACCTTGATTGCCATGTAGCCCTTTTTTTCCCTTTCTTCCTTCTCATAGTGTGTATCATCATTTCGTTGACAACTATTATGTTATCATGTATATTCCTACCAGGCACAAACTAACCTGGAACGGAGAGACTAATAATCGGTCCATAATGGTCTTTAGCCGCTGAACAATGATCTTTGATAGGCATTTATAACTCACGTTGCACAGTGAGATGGGTTGAGATGGCTGACCCTTTCAAGATTGTCTATTTTTGGGATTAAAGTCAAGAGGGTCTGATTCATTTCCCCAATCTTCTCTGGTTTCTCCCATAAGGTCTTCACACACTTTGTTACAGAATCTCCTACTATTTCCCAGTTTTTCTGGTAGAAGATAGCAGGAAACCGTCCTCTCCGGGGCTTTTAGACCTCCAATTGAGAACAAGCAAGCTTTATTTCCTCATCAGTAATTCCCACAAACAGTCCCCCACGTCTCCTCATCCACTTCTGGCCAAACATGGTGAGTTTGAACCCACTCCCTATTTTCTTCTTCTTCTTCCAGATATAGAGATTTGAAAAACTCAAGTACAAGTTACCCACTTCCTCCTTACCTTCCACCCAATTATTCTCTCTGTCTCTCAACGCTGCCACCCTGTGTTCTTCTCTCCTCTTGATGGAAGTTTTTTTTTGTATGATAACCTGGTGTTACGGTCTCCATCATGTAGCCACTTTGTTCTTGCCTTTTGGAACCAAAGAATCTCTTCTTTCTCAAGCACATCCTGGAGTTCCTTGTTCAACGTGATTTCCAGCTCCTCTAAGTAGGGATTATCCTTTCTTTGATTGTGTTTTTGTGTCCCGGCAATTCTCCCTAGAAGTTCATTTTTCTTTTTGGCAATATGCCCAAAGATATTATGATTCCATTCCTTCAGCTTTGGGGTCAGCTCCTCCAATTCCCGATTTAATTCTTTGTTCCCGTCCACGCTCCTCTCAATACATTTTTAAATTGTGCATGTTGTAGCCATGCAGCTTCGAACCGGAATGGTCTTGCCCCCCTATTTCCTCTTCCGAGTAGAATTGAACAAACAAGGGATGATGATCTGAATTTAGTCTCGGCCCAACTCTTACAAACGCTTCATGAAACATATTTCTCCACGCCGAGTTGCACAAAGCTCTGTCCAATTTCTTATAAATTCTACTCGCATGACTAGTTATAGGTCCCCTCCACGTATACCTAGGTCCCTCAGAACCCATATCAATTAATCGGCAATCCTCTATGTTGTTTCTAAATCTCATGCATTTATTTGCATTAGTTGGGACACCTCCCCTTTGTTCATCAGGTTGTTTGATGTCATTAAAGTCCCCCGCAAGAAGCCAAGGACTCGTGGTCGCCTGGGCCAGCCTTTTCATTTCCTGCCAAAAATCCTTCCTTTCGATTTCTCTTGGGCTCGCATAGACCGCAGTAAATAGCCATAACCGATCACTCAATCCAGCCACTTCCCCATGCAGGTACTGTTTGTGTTTCTCCAGGACTCTGAATTTAATATTGTCATTATTCCAAAGCACCCATATGCCTTCAGACATTCCGCACGCCTGCACTATTTCCTGGTATTTAAATCCCAGTCTCAGTCAAAAACTAAAATTTGATGCTTTTGGCATTTGAAAAGTGAAGAGAGAAAGGAAAAAAGTGTGGGTCCTACATTAAAAAATTTACTAGTATAGAGAGAGAAGTTAAAGCATGAAGAAAGAATAAATTAATTGCTACTCCTCATATCCTATTTATAAGATAGGGGGAGAAGAAAATTTTGTCTTTTTTATAAGGCGTATAGGGAACTTTTTCTCTAAATATACAATTTTCAATTTTACACTTTATTTATTATTTGTTGATTTTATTTTCATGATGTATAATTTATATTAAATAAGAATAAAATTAAAACATATTGAATTTTAAATGAGAGTTAATAAAATTTAAAATTTTTCTTAGTTTGTTTGAAATGAAATGACTTATAAATAGGACCACAAGAATAGTCCTTCCAATTCATAATATAAGATGTTAGTTAAACTTTTTCACAAAATAAGAAATGTTAGTTAAATCATTAAATGTGTTTTAATTTTTTGAGTTGCATGATTTATTTATTTGATACTTATATTTTAAATTAAAAGAAGTATTATTTAATAAAATTTAAGCTTTTTTTAGTTATTTTATAACTAAACTTGCATTTTTAATAATTATCTAAATAACTTTATTTTTACAAACTAACTTATTTATAAAATTAATCCAAATAACTTTTCTACTTTTACAAATTAAATTTTATAAAATCTAATTCAAACATAAATCACATTATCCAATTTAATTTTTATCTAATCTAATTTTTTAAAAAATTAAATAAAAAATAAGTTATTTATTTTACCGGCAATTCAAAAAGAGAGTAAGAGGAGGGAAATTGAAAAGAGAAGCCCCTTTCCCCAAACTCCGTGGCTAGATCCCAGAAGAATGTTTATTTCTTTATAACGCGGGGGACTTTAATTTAATATACCAAAATGAATTATAATTAATGGAAGTTAAAAGAAATGATAAATACTCTATTTGTGAGAAGAAAACGAATTACGAATGAAAATCCTAAAGATGTGTCTTACTTTTTTTGTTCAATTCAAATAAAAAGTGATGTATTTTTAAACAATTCTTTAACGTTTAATAATAAAATTATTTAAATGTTTATTTAAACTAGTAGAGCATTGTTAACATATATAAATCACACTTATAAACTACTCCTCTTATCCTTAATATATGACCCAATTGTTAATTGGTTTTAGTCCTGAACATAAGACTAATTCCTCATATTTATCAATTTTCTTTAAATTACTCTTATGGATGCTCTCTCAACTATAATAAAGTAGAAGAGGAAAAAGGATATTAAAAAAGATAATTATGGTATTTTAGGAAAAACGTTTATATTTTTATAATTAACTAACTTACCTAACTTTTTTAATATAATCAAATTAGTTAAATGGGTCTTATATTAAGGATTGAAGGAGTAATAATTAGAATTAATGTCAAATAATCATAACTATTTTGCTTAAAATTAAAAGAATCTTTAGCCATGCACTCCACCCTCTCCATACAATTTTTTGGGTATGCATCTGTCAAAACATACAAAACACATTCGTATAAAATTTAAAATATTTAAATTTTATTTTTATCATGCCTTTATTTCCTGCATATCCCAGCTACAGCGAGGAAGATCCGGTCACCCGGCTCGGGGCCATATAAGCTTGCCGGCCCTTCGGAATTTCTCTGACAACGCGGTACATGACTTTTGTCACACACTGAGAGAACGAGTAGGAAGAAATGGCGATGGCCATGGTGCGATCCAGTCTTCTTCGGGCTGCGGTGCGCGGAAGACCTCGTAGCGCGGCTCCTCCCCGGCGAAACTTCGCTTCATCTAGTCATCACGATGATGAATGTTAGTCCCCTACTCCCCTACTCCCCTACGCTCTCTCTCTCTCTCTATATATATATAATACAATATGTACTCAACTGACGCATTCTTATGTGGTACCTTCCAATCCGTATTGAATTTTGTCAATCTATTGCTGGATTTCAATTTTAAAGTCGATCATTTCCTAATCATCGCAACTGTATAATGTTAGGGTTTCTTTTTGGTGTGGGGTTTGAGTTCTTTTCGCAAACCGTGTGGTTAGCTTGGAAGCTGGTCACTATTGGATTAAAGTGGTTGCATTAGGATAAGGGTGTACAGATATGTGAAATGATATATCAGGCTCTGATTGATAATTCAAATTGATTTAATATGAATATGCAACTGTTAATCATTAAGTCTTGCTGCTGCGTCACTTTGTGGATATTCTGACCTTATTCCTTTTTTGACTATGAAAATCCTGTGATTCAATTTTTGGAAATTAGCTTTTTGATTCACTGAACAGTTAAAGAACTAAATTTTCTCAATTTTGATATTAGGCAATTAGGCTTTTGGTTAGGTTTGTCAAACTTTTTGGTAGTTGATGGATTACTTACATTTTGGCTATTAGATTGTCATGAATTTCCTCTCTTTGATTTTAAATCCCAGCATCGAATGCAATTTCCAAGTTTCACTTCAGCAACTGGAATTAGCCATAAAAGATTTATGGTTGCTTTGTTATATATTAGCACGTTATTCATGTGGTTATCTATCTGTTTAGAATTTTATGCTTCAGTCTACTAAGTGAATTTCAGGTTGCATTTTGGCAACTAGCCTACTATGCATTTGATATTTCCCCTGCTTCCTCACCTCTTCCTTCTAATCGTCACATAACTACTCTATCAATGTCCTGCTTTCACTGTTGTTCCTCTATATAGCTTGCTGATAAGCATTTCTTTTATTAACTGCATCAGATGAGACAGCCAAGTGGGAGAAGATTACCTATCTAGGCATTGCTACATGCACTGCTTTAGCCGTTTATCACCTATCAAAGGGTCACCCTCACCATGAAGAGCCCCCTGTGAGTTATTTATACATGCATTTTTTTTTTTTTTGGTTCCTCAGACATGCATTAATGATGGACTTTTTTTTCTATGTTTGATATGGCATTTTATCTATGATAATTGCAATCAATCACTATTTTAGGCCAAGTAGTTTGGCACAGTGTGTGACACTCCATCTATCATGAGTGCAACCAAATTCCATTTTGAACCCAATTTAGAATAACCTTATAGTTGTATCTCCAAATTACTCTTGCACAACGTACATACAGAATAATACTTTTTTTTCCCTCCTGTTTTTGACTTTGTCCTTACACTTTTATGCAGCCATACCCATATCTGCACATCCGCAATAAGGAATTTCCATGGGGTATGTTGTGTCTTTCATATTGAGTGTGGCCTTGATTTTTTTTTTTTTTAATTGTGTTCCCCACCAATTTATTTATGGGGGGAGATCCACAACAGAAGCAATTTATTTACTACGAAGGTTAATAGAAAGATACAGGAGTAAAGGAAGGGATTTACATATAGTTCTAAGGTTTTTATTGACTTGGAAAAAGTTTATGATCGTGTGTCAAGAGAAGTACTTTAGAAGGCTTTGGAAAAGTAAGGTGTACGGGTTGCTTATATCAAAACCATACAAGATATATATGAAGGAGTAACTACTACTGTAAAACCGTCTGGATGTGAGACAAAGAACTTTCCCATTAAGATTGGCCTACATTAGGGGTCTTCTGTGAGTTCTTACTTATTTATTGTTTTAAATTTTCTAATTGAGCTTATCCAATCTCTAAGTGTATGCTTTTTGTGGATGACACGGTCCTCATGGCTGAATGAAGAGAAGAAATTAACTCTAAATTGGAGATATGGAGAAGGAACTTGGATTCAAAAGGTTTTCGCTTGAGTAAGAACAAAACATAATATATGCATTGCAAGTTTTGGAAGAGGCAAGGCAGTGGTGATTTGGAGGTGAAGACGGGAGATCAAATTATTTCTCAAGTGTCAAAGTTCAAATATTTAGGATCAATTACACATGAAGATGGTGAAATTGATGGAGATGTTTCTTATAGAATTTAAGCTGGTTGGTTAAAGTAGAGGAAAGCTATCGGAGTTATTTGCCATAAGAAGGTACCAACAAAGCTTAAGGGAAAATTTTATCGGAGTGCTATAAGACCAGCTATGTTGTAGGGTAGTGAATGTTGGGCAATAAAGGAACAACAATAGCATAAAGTTGGGGTGGTAGAAATGATGATGTTGAGATGGATGTGTGATTATACAATAAAAGATAAGATTTGAAATGAAAATATTAGAGCAAGAGTAGGTGTGGCGCTTATCGAAGAGAAAATAGTTGAACATCATTTGAGGTGGTTTGGGCATATGAAGAGAAGGCTATTGGAGGTCTTGGTGAGAAGGTAGATCAGACAGTTTGGAGTCCTATAAAAAAAAAACAGAGGAAGACTAAGAAGAACATTCAATAAGGTCATTAAATGAGACCTCCTGGTCAACAACATATCGAAGGACTTGGTTGTTAATAGATAACAATGACGTCATGTGATTCATGTAGCCGACCTCACCTAGTGGGATAAAGCTGCTTGTTGTTGTTGTTTTCCACAACAACTTGAAAGTTTCAAAAATTTAATTTCATTAAATGTTAAAATTCTTTAGATTTGTATTTGACTTTGCTCAATTTCTCTCTGTTTAACACATTAATGTGCTGCTATATTTTAGTTTGTACCTGATTCTGTGAGTATTGAGTAATCTCATATTCAGCTAGAGCAGCTGTCATACGTAGATCAGTCTGTTGGAGGAAGCTGCTTTTGCTTTGTAAATTCACCATTGAGTTTGAGATATCAATATCATACATCTGATAGGATGGAATGACATCTGAAGCATGAGAATAGTGGCCGGTGTGTTTCATTTTTCATGGGCTTGCATATTTCAATAATGATTCAAATCTAACATTGACCATCTTTTCAAGATTTTCTAAGTTTACCGTTAACTCTAAGGATAAGTTTATTCTGTTTGGCTTGCGTGTGCAAAAAGGTTTTGGTTGGATTGAGAGTCCATGATACTATTAGGTGTATGTCATAATTGAGAATTGATTAGCCTGTGTTCAAAATGAGTTCAAGCAAGGGCTTTTCTTGGTCAATTTATCAATCGTATTATAGTAAACACTTTTGGGGGCGTTTGTATAATCCATGGAAAGACATTTCTTTTTCCATTACTCAGAAAACAATATTGGTGATATCTTCTAACTTAAATTAACTGTTATTCTTATTCACAGGTACAAGTGACATTGCAAAAGCTATAGAATCACCTTTTGTATTTTATTCGAAGCACCAAGAGTAGTCGTTTATTTAATTATATGCATATTATTCTTAATTATTGTTAGCTAGTGTTGTATTTCTTGTAGAATTGCAATCTGGCTTGCATTTTAGTAATCCGCGAGGCCTGAAATTCCCTGCTCATGACTGGATTCTTTTGGGTAAGCAGGTCCAGATGGCCTTTTCGAAAAAAAAGCATCACTAGGAACATCTGGTGGTTAAGTCGGAGTTATCGCGTGACTGTTGTTTGGCTTATTTCTTGCCCCATGTCGAAGTTTGATAGAACATTTTCATATTGTTGCATAAATTGTAATGTGGAACTTGCAAGTGGCAAGACAGTCTTATTAGGTCGTGTTTCATACCCTTACTTGGATTTAAAATAATTGAATACTTGGTTCTGCTTTGTCCAGTTTGGTGCAACAACTAGCATTAGAAGCAGTGTTATGTATGCGTTAGTTGTTCGAACCCATCCTCACACCTTCTTTGAACATACTGGAATACGGTATCATCATTTTGGTTGAAAATGCTCAAAATGTAATGATTGGTCTGATTTTTAAACTACTTTTCCGGTATTTAATATAAAATCTATTTAACTAATTTGATTAGATTAAGAAAATTAGGTAAGTTAGTTATAAAAAATATGACATGTTTTTCATAAAATAACATAATCATCTTTTTTAATATATTTTTTTCTTTCTATTTAATTATAGTTAAGAAAGATTCATAGGAATAATTTAAAAAAAATTGATAAATATAAAAAATAAGTTTTATATTTAGGATCAAAATTAATTTAACAATTAGATCTTATATGAGGACTGAAAAAATACCTTATAATATTTCTTTAATAATGTTCAACTTTACGTTAAGCATGAAGGTCTCAGGGGAACAATGTTGATAGTAGCGGGACCATCAAATCAGCGAGGCGCACTCTCTTAGTGGCCGAACAGTGATGCGATTCACATGCACTCGTACCTTGCGATTTCCCTCGTACCTTTATACTAGCTTTTTTTTTTAATATAACAATTAGTTTGATATTTAATTTGATATTAAATATAAAATTTTAATTTAATTTAATTTTTATTTTACTTGTTTTTTAAAGTAAAATTTGTAATAGTTATACATATTAAAGGTTTTATAGTGGCTCTAAGTGATATAAACGATCAGATATTTTTAGAAAAAATAATACCTATAACTAACTTAATTTTTTTTTTTTAATTTATTTAGGTTAGGTAACTATGTTAAAGGGGACGGGAGCTAGTAGAATAAGTAATCCATTGAACAGAGAAATTGCGGAGTTGACCGAGTAGAATCCCGAAACTTAGAGTTAGATCATCGGTCGTAGTGAGGTTTATTGGGTCAAAAAGAAGAGTGAAGCTTGTCCATGTAAAATAGAACACGAGCTTACTTTTATACACCGCAGCCACTCCGCTGCTGAAGCAATGACACTGAAAAAGGTAAACGTATTACGGTTGAGCGAAAGGGATCCTCTCCTCTATCTCTACTGTTACCCTTCTCTACCCCATTTTTTTCCTTTTTATTATCGGTTAGAATTTTAATAGTTCAAATTTAACATTTTATAAAAATATTATTATAATTATATATAAAAAATAGATAGATAAATTTAAATAGTTAAAATTTGATTTTAATAGTTCACAATTATAAACTATTACAATAAAGCATTTTTTATATTTACAATTGGGAGTTGTTTAGATCAAATTTTAACGGCTTAAATTTATTAATATATTTTTTAAATACAATTGAAATAACATTTTTATAAAATGTTAAATTTAAACCATTAAAGTTTAGAAAAAAGAAGAAAAGAGCGGATCCATTCCTGAGTTAAGCTTCAAGTATCCCAACTCTATGGTGAGGAGGAGAAAGATCAACATTTCGGGAAAGCGTTTTGGCCGAATAATAGTGGAAATGGATACGTAAAAGTTGTTACTTTAACAACGAAGAACAACAAATGATTTATACATATAACTCTATTGCTGCAGCAAATAACAATAACCCCCCAAACAATCTAAATAGCATATTGGCCACGTACAGAACAATACATATCTCAACAAAAAAGAAAAAAAAGGTTAGGACCATAACAGGAAGCCTCATGCAGTTGATTTATTTGAAATATAGCTCCGTGGCAGTAAGCATCACTGTGATTGCTTTCGGTATTGGTCTCTCTGGCAACCTTCCCAAGTTAACGTTCTGAAAAATTCAAGATTCAGACCTGACTTGATCCTGCGAGTTGGAATCGGTTGATTCTTCTTTCTGGTTTCCTGCAACAGATGATTCTTTTTGAGCACCTCCAGTTTCATTTGTCTGGCTTTGAACATTGTTCTGTTTCTCACTCTGCACTGCATCAGCATTGTTCCCGGAAGATGCATCTTTCTCTTCAGAAATTGAGGAATCAGAAGAAACGCCTGGCACCGTCACGTCTTTGTTTTCATTTCTATTGTCATTGCCATTTGAATTATTCTGGCTGGCATCATTCCTGTTTTCTGAGTTAGAGGATTCTTCCTTATTTTGTTCTGATGGAGTGTCAGTGGATTTGACTTGTCCCTGGTTGGCCTCTACGCCATTATTAGCGCTTCCATCACTGTCCGTTTCGCTCTGAGTAGAGTTTACATTGTCATTTTGCCCAGAATTACTACTATTTTCTGACTTTGAGGAATCATCTTTCTTCTGTTCAGATGAAGCACCAGAGGAAGTTTGTTGTACCTCCTGGCTAGCATCTTTGTTGTCACCTGTACTGGATGACACAACATTATCTTGCGCTCCCTTGTCAGAATTGCTGTCAACGTTTTGCTTGTCAGCAGCATTAGTAGGTGAGTCCTTGGACTCTCCATTGGTTGCATTGCTGACATAGTTTTCTGAGGAAGATGTTGAAGTGGAATCAGCTTGCTCCCCATCCCTTTTATGTCCATCACTCTCCATCAATGCTTGGTTCCCATTGCCTGAATCAGCCTTCTCAGTGTTTTCTGATTCTGTTTTATTTGAGACTAACTCATGTTGATCAATATGAGCTTCTTCAGTACCATGGGTATTAGACTCATCCTTAAACTCATTATTTTCCTTGTTTTCAGATTGCTCTGTCTTGCTATGACTTTCATCTGTGGTATCTTGTGTTCTGTGTTCCACAGCACTGGCGGCATTATCTCCAGCATAATGCTCCTCTCTAGCCTCCTCATTATTCCTTTCTCCATCCTTGACTTGATCCTCAGATGAAGTCACTTCCTGAATCTTCTCATCCTCTTCTTGCTCTTTTTCAGATGAGCTGCTCTCCTCTTCCTTTTGTTATCATTAACTTGCTCTTTAACATCGTCCAATTGTTCCTTCACTTCAGTGTTGCTTTCCCCATTTTCCTTATTCTCTGTCTCTTTTGCCTCTCCATTCTCTTTGTTCTCCACTCCATCTTTGTTCTCTTCATTCTTCTCTTGCTCTTTCACTCCAGTGCTGCTTTCTCCATTTTCCTTATTCTCTGTCTCTTTTGCCACTACATGCTCTTCCTGATTCCCGTTCTCTCTAGCCTCTCCATTTTCTTTGTTCTCCACTTCATCTTTGTTCTCTTCATTCTTCTTCTCTTGTTCCTTCACTTCAGTGCTGTTTTCTCCATTTTCCTTATTCTCTGTCTCTTTTGCCTCTACATTCTCCCGCTGACTCTCGTTCTCTCTAGTCTCTCCCGTCTCTTTGTTCTCCACTTCATTTTTGTTCTCTTCATTCTTCTCTTGTTCCCTCACTGCAGTTCTTTTTTCTTCATTCTCCTGGTTCTCTGTCTCTTTTGCCTCTCCATTCTCTTGCTGACTTTCGTTCTCTCTAGTCTCCCTTGTCTCTTTGTTCTCTTCATTCTTCTTCTCTTCATTATCATTTCCCTGGCTATCATTTACGCCATTCTCGTCGCCAAATTTCTTTTGATCCGCCTCACCTTCCTGCCCCGTCCCAGCATTTTCAGAACTCAGTTCACTCGCTTTCTCTTGATCTACTGACTCCTCTTGACGCTCAGAATCCCCTTCTTTGTTTTCTTGCTCAGCTTTTTGGGTTGAAATCTCATTATCCACGCCATTAGTATCATCCATCTTGTTTTGCTCTTCATGCTTGCTTTCTTCATCCTCCTCCTCCCTATGCCTTGCATCTATGATGGAGGTTTCCTCTGTGCGCGGGTTGAGATCCTTCCTCCCCAACCTCACAGTCTCGCCGCTGGTTCGTGTGCTTTCCCCATATGATACTTTCTTCTCATAAGATTGTTTGATTTGGTAACCCAGCCAGACACAAAGGCCAAGCGCAACACATAATTGTAGTGCATGCTTCACCTTGAAGCCTCTGGATCTCTGGTTCCTCTGAGCCGACTTGAACATGATGGAGATTCCTCTCCCTCAAACTTCACTTTTCCCCGAATACCTGCCCATATTGAGCAATCTCTATAACAGGCTATTAATTATCAAAAATAGCAACTCAACCATAAATCAGATCAGGAGGGGGGAGGGGGGCAAGAAGACACGCCGCGTTATATCCTCAAGCAAGCGGAAATTCTATATCGACATATAATACAGGGGACTTCATACAATCTACAGATTACAGTTCATATAAGGAAATATTTGTACATCTGAGAACTAATGAAGCAAGGATTTTTGCTCATCGCAGGAATCCACCATCAGTAAAAAATATTGACCCCTCGCGGACCATTTACACAGGCAAAGTTAACTACATCTTGTAGTTTAGTTTCAGATCATCGAATCTTATGCACAATACAGGAAAAACAGACATATTGGTGTTCTGCAAGTCTGCAGCCAACTCGAATGGAGAAAAGAATGTTTAAAGCATGAATGAGACAGGGTCAAAACTCAAAGCTACTCACAGATCCACACAGATCTTGACAAGTATTCTAAACAATGTATCTGAATTACGACATCACCGAAACTCAAAAACCTTCCTGACAATAACTTTGGAACTGATAAAACACAAAAATAACATACCCGGAAGAAGCAGCCTGCTGATTTCGAAATGAGCAATCTACGCAAAGAAACGGTCCCTTTCTTTTATTAGAAATGGAGGTAGAAGCTGAGAAGGAACAATTCGACGTTGCGAAGATCAAGATGTGATCTTTCACCACCTTAGCCAAGTGGGTCGAAGTCTTATTATAGATCTTAACCCACAAATGCAATGGAACGTGGTGTAGGCTTGTTGAACGGAATTCTTTACTAATGAGCGTGGGCTAAGTGGACTGATTTGAAAGCCTAACTTTTGAAAATTGGTTTAATTAATTGTAATTATTATCAGCCAGTTGTGCAATAAACGACGTCGATTTGAAGCACCTTTGGAGCACCGTCATACACCAACGGATAGGAAGTGGACACGTGGCATCTACAGAACCCCACACCTTTTAGGGTTGTCGACTACACTAATAAACTACACAGTGACGCACAAAGCAAAATCCTGGAGCAAATATCTCTTCTCACAAGAAAGGTTCTTTCTCATCGGAAGATAGAGCCGAGGATCCATATTCCACGCGAAGGAAGGTAGGTGCGAATCCTCTATCCCTATTTTCGTATTACAGTGATTTGTGCACTGAGATTGGGAATTGAGAAAGTCGTCTGCTATTTCTTCACCAAGCAGCAACCCTAAACTGGTAAGCTACCGAATCTTTCTCCGTCAGTGTCCAACCCAATGACCTCGAAGCTGATTGCTTCCGGTCTCCGCCAACAACTCACCAAATTCGCCCATCAATTCCGCCGTCAACATCTGTCCACAGCGGCGGCGGCGGCGACTGCTGCGGCGGAGCCCCAACACCATGAGGATTCAACGGGAATCACTATGAAAGGTGTGAAAATTTCTGGAAGGCCTCTTTATCTGGATGTGCAAGCAACTTCTCCCGTAGACCCTCGAGTGCTCGATGCGATGCTTCCCTACAACATGTCTCGCTTCGGTAATCCTCACTCTCGTACGCATATGTATGGCTGGGAATCCGATTTGGCAGTCGAAAACGCTCGCGCTCAAGTAGCATCTCTGATTGGCGCCTCCCCAAAAGAAATTGTGTTCACCTCTGGCGCAACGGAGTCCAATAACATCTCCGTAAAGGGGGTCATGCATTTCTACAAGGACAAGAAAAGGCATGTGATAACAACGCAGACGGAGCACAAATGTGTGCTTGACTCGTGCCGCCATCTTCAGCAGGAGGGATTCGATGTCACGTATCTTCCAGTTGGGTCCGATGGAATCATTGACCTGGAGAAGCTCAGGTCGGCTATTAGGCCTGATACAGGTCTTGTATCTGTCATGGCCGTTAATAACGAGATTGGGGTAGTTCAGCCTGTTGAGGAAATTGGCAAAATTTGCAAGGAGTTTAATGTTCCCTTTCATACCGACGCTGCACAAGCTTTGGGAAAGATTCCAGTTGATGTAGAGAAGTGGAACGTAAGTTTGATGTCATTGAGTGGGCATAAAATTTATGGGCCAAAGGGTGTTGGAGCATTGTATCTTAGGAGGAGACCAAGGATTCGAGTTGAGCCCCAAATGAATGGTGGTGGACAAGAGAGAGGAATTCGGAGCGGGACAGTGCCTACACCTTTGGTTGTGGGGATGGGCGCTGCGTGTGAGCTGGCAATGAAGGAAATGGATTATGATCATAAGAGAATTTCTGCTTTGCAAGAACGATTATTGAATGGGATTAGAGAAAAATTGGAAGGGGTGGTGGTGAATGGAAGCATGGAGAGGCGCTACACTGGAAATTTGAATTTGTCATTTGCATATGTTGAAGGGGAGAGTTTACTGATGGGGCTGAAGGAGGTGGCCGTCTCGAGTGGCAGTGCTTGCACTAGTGCGAGTTTGGAGCCCTCGTATGTTTTGAGGGCACTGGGAGTAGATGAGGACATGGCTCATACTTCTATTAGATTTGGTATTGGCAGGTTCACTACAGAGGCAGAGATTGACAGGGCAGTCGAGCTCACGGTTCACCAAGTGCAGAAGTTGAGAGAAATGAGCCCGCTTTATGAAATGGTGAAGGAAGGCGTCAACATCAAGGATATTCAGTGGGCTCAACACTGATTATGTTGCGATGATCGCATAGATTGCTCGGGCATTGTGGGACGTGGATTATGTCCCCTGGAGACAGTCAAATAGTTTGTCTGCTCAACCAAATAAATAGCTATTGTTCATCCAGGTATCCCTATAGAATGGAACGTAGAATGTGAAATCGGTGTAATACTTTTGATCTTGGCTTACGCATGGCTGTGGATAATGTGTTCTGAGTAATGAGTGTATTTTATTGGCAGATACTGAACTTAGAGGATAATGACATGACATGGACAACAGATGATCTAATTTTGACCGCCTTTTCTTGTTTCATTCATGATGGATCTTTGTGTGTCTGCCATATTATATTTGGAGTTTGAAATTTATTCCATATCTCAATTGAAGAGTTTGGTACCCTATAAATTCGCTTTGGACTGAAAGTTTGTCCTCTGTTTATTTCAAAACTCAAACCTAGTTGTTGCCCGTGTTTCTATCTCTTAAAAGTTTAGGTTCCACGAGGTTATTACCTTCCTCTACATCAAGTCTTCAATAGAGGGGAAGGTGGTATTGATAATATCATTGACAGATTAACTGTCTTCACTTATTAGATGTTTCAGACTGGGGTCATATGAGCTGGAAATTTATTTAGCCGTAAGAAACAAGGATCTTGCAATACAATCTGGTTGGGGTAGCCTGTTCTTGGTTTTTGTTGAATTTCGTGCTAGCCATCATGATCTGGGAACACACATGATAAAATGATAGCCATAGAAGTATATATTGTCGAACTTGAATAACATGTGCTCATGATGATGATTGTCAGAGCATGCTTAATTTGGAGTTGGAGCAGAAATTTGTATATTTTTTCTTGCGGGGGAGAGAATGAAAATAGCTTGAGCTTAGAACTAGCACAATCATAGCGTGGCTTTCGGAAATTGTTGTATGTTCCAGAGTAAAATATCAATTTTACAAGCGTTGAGGGTCCGCAATACCCTGCCTTTAGACTTGCAAGCATGTGGAATAACTTCATCCGTGTTTACTTTGTGTCGATTTAAATGGTCAAATTTTGATTTTTGCCTACTCTCAGGACCTTTTTATTGTGAAAAACTCTTTTCAATGGAAATATTTCTACTTGGGTTGAGTAATTGCCTTTTACTTGAAGTACCCTTTTCAATGATTTAAGCTGGTATTCATTTTGTCTGTACATGGATGATGCCCCGTGAAGATAGTTAAACTGATTTGGTTCTCAACTACGCATGAATAAATCATTGGTCATCAATATTTCGCTTTCTATAATATTCCAAAAGACACAAGGTGATGTAAAACGGAAATTTTGCTTAAACATGCCTTTTACGTGTTCCTGGTATTCAATACACTTTTTTGGCAAATTACGATGCTGAATAATGGTTATAGTTTAAGCACGAGCAGGTTCGATCTTGTTTACACGTTTACAGTTTGTGATTGGGTGAACGATTTCGATCACCCTACAGAGTCAGCAATTTCACCCAATTTTTCAGTATTATGTTAAATACTAATACATGACATTAAATTTTATGTGAAAATAATAGTTCAATTGTTTTGTAATGTGAGGTCTGTCCCGCGGATCTGAAGTAGTACTGTAACTATTACTACAGGTATTGGCTTCCTTTTTCTTAGACCCTTTTGAGGGTTATAGCCGTTTGTTTTTGTTTGTCAGTTACCATGCAAAATTGCAAATTGAAAATTATTGCTCACTCCAGGAGCTCCCCTCTGAGATGCACCATTTTGTTTGACTTTGAGAGATTTGCACCAAACTCAAACTATACACGAGACCGTACAAACTGGTATGAAACTACGTTCGAAAAGTGAATATCAATCAATATATCATATAAATCTCTTCCCCCAAGCCGGTTCCATATCACGGCTCCATGTTGGCTCCTCTCACGAACTTATGGTTCATGGCTTAATGCCAAAAAAAAAAAAACATATATGCCGCTTTATCAAAGCTTTCAAGCTTATAAGGATGCATTGGGCTTTGTGTATATATGCTTTACAGTATGAAAGTTTCTACTTTTACGGTCTCTCTCTCTGCCTCCCGCCTAATTTTGTATTCACTGAGAATAAAATTTTGAAAAAAAAAAATTCTGCTCAGTGTTTCTTTTCCATTTTCATGACAGTGATACAATGGCAGAGGAAAGAAGTCAGAGAGACTAACAAGGAAAAGGCAAATAGCAGAGCAGAGTCACAAGCAAATCAAAGAAGACTGCAATTCTGTCATCAAGCTGGGTCCTTTACCTTATCTGAGCATTGAAATTTTTTCCTTTGATTCCAGTCTTTGTCACTGATTCAAATTTGAAATTTAAATTTTCAAATGTTGTCTTGTCCCTTCCAAGTTTGAGAAGTACCAATTGAGTTTGTTTGCATGGACGTATCCTCTTTCTTCTCCTCTCCATTCTCCTCTTTGTCTAGCGTGTCGGCGTCTGAGTGTCACTTGGTTCTGTGTTATCCTTTGTACTTGTCGCTGAATTTTCCCGTATCATCTCCTCGCTTCGGTCGCTCATCCCCCCTGAAGAAATGAGAGCCATCAAGGACAAGTGTGTAGGAAGCAATAATCAGTTGGGGATTTACATCAATGATTGGGATGAAGCAAAGAGATGGATGATGTTACTGTTGTTTGTAGGCGGCAGCTTTGACACACCCACACAAAAATCACAACATTGTTATCCCAAGGTTTGGTGGGTGCACGGCGCCTTGCTGGAAATCCTTCTTCAAGATCTTCCCCATTTGTTTCTTCAGTGAGAATAACGGCCATAGTGGATCTCAGGTACAAACCCCTTTGTTCTTCACCCAGCAGTTTTTCCATTTGGATTTTCGAATTTTCTTCATATACATTTCACCATTATACTTCTGTTATTTTTACAAAAATATTTGAATATTTGGAAAACTTGCAAATGACCTTTGAGTCATAATCTGCTCTTCATTTATCAATGATGATTCTTAGTTAAAGGGAGGTGTCCAATTCTTCGTATGTGCGATGGCAAGAAATAGGCATGTACTTGCTTCTTCAGATGTGACTACGCGCATTACCCATGGCAGCCAAACGTTAAATCTGACATGTTGGTGGCTGAAATGTTTTGTAGTAGATACAGGTTATTCAAAATCACTTGTCTATCCTGATTATGTTTGAAGTAATTATATGTATATGAATCATTTGTAGTTCTTAACCAGTTATTGATTCTAATGCATTTCCTTTGCCTTCACTGTTAACATTTTGTATAATAATTTGAGTGACTAATTGTGTTAGCAATCTTCTAAAAATTATTTGAAACTTTAATGGAGAATTTCTGACAATAGTGTGTAATTTTGAAGCTTATTTTGCTGCATAGAGGAGGGAGAGGGAGACAGCAACAACTAATCTTTGGTTCAAAAGGCCATCGAACAAGGAAGAAGAAATAATGAAAAAGGAGACCTTTTTGGCCTAGGATTCGGAGAAGCTTCTTTTTTATTTTTTTAGACAAGAATTTATTTTGGTTGACAAAGTATTTGGCCCTCCTATGAAAAAATTCTATCGCTTAGCAGTAGCAGAAAAGTTTTCCTTTCTTTATAATCCTTAAGCCAAGGCGTTGTAATTATGGATGAAAATAACATCATTAGGAGGAATTGGAGAATGAAAAAAGCACCTGCAACATGATAAAAAAAGCAAGAACAAGCATTAATTTAGATTATATTGTTATATATGTGATTTGTTGTCTATGTTTTTTATGATTCTATATTTCTATTTATATCTAGGTGTGAAAAGGCAAAAGAGACCTTTAAATCATCTCAAGAAGCCATCAAATTTGAATCATGATTTTACATGGAAAGTGATCAAAGTTTCTACAAGAAGTTACAAGAAATGGCATCGATAGTTCAGTAATATAATTACCCTAGCCCATTTAGATTTATAACCATAAGATTTATATACTTTTCTTTTCAGTTGAAGGCAATACCTTCAGTTTTTTTTTCTTTGATTTCAAATTTATTTATTTCAAATAGGTATATTTCCTCATATTGATTTTTATGTCTGTGTTATAATTAGTTTTTAAATTCTTAGTTGCAGTTTGGCATGTTTTCTAATGTTCATATTGAAGGTTGTTATATGAGAATGTGTACTCTTTTGGAGGCTAACATGTGATTTGATCTTGCCTCTAATTGTGAGTTTTGACGCAAGGGGTGATTGAACTAACAGTGATTGTGTACAATATGCAAGGTGAAAGAGTAACCATTGGATTTAGAGTTTTTAAGAAGGAACAGGTTTCACTTGATTGTAAAAAGTGTGCTTCATTTTAATTTGAAATGAGTCATGGATGAAGAACATATTCCTAAACTCGTACCTATAACTATGCATTCTGATTGTGCTTTCAAAATGAAAAGGCAAAAATATTATGAACTAATAACAGTTGAAATTAGAGAAAGGTGGGCAAAAATAAACTTTGGTGTTTGTTTGTGTGATTGATAATCATTATTAAGATTTATAACTTCATTCTGTAGTTTTTGAAGTTAGACTATTATGATCCATAAAGAATGGTTAGGGGTTGCAGCATGAAAGCTAGGAAGATTATTGAGTGAAAAAAAAAATTAAAGCATGTATAAGATTTGATTCAATACAAATTTGTTATTTATTTCTCCCAAACAGTTTACTTTCTCAGGTCATTTATTGTCACTTAATAGTTTCTTAAAAGTGGCTGCTCTTTTTTTTTTTTTGGGATAATAAGAAGGTAAGCAAAGCTTCAAATTTGAATAAAGAAGGGGGAGAAATGTAATTTCAAGTTATAGGAAATAGACACTGAAGATATCTAAGTAGTAATCTAAAATTGAAGAAATGAGAATATGTATACCAAGCCAACTTTATAAGCCTTCTGAACTTTAGATGAGATTTTCCGATTTAATTGTTTGTTTCAGAATGATAAACATTACCTTTAAACAAATTGGTACACAAATACTATGTAATATACAAATGTCATTCATATTTTATCATATAAATTAGGCATGTTTATATTTATAGAAATCCTTTTAATAGTTTTTCATTCTATTGTGTGTAAAAGTTTTGTGATTTATATTTAGAATAATGATTCATATAAATACATTCTGAATATTTATATTTTGGATGAATAAGCTCCCCGTGCAACGCACGGGGAAGCACCATCTAGTTGGTATCCTATAGCAAGAACATGAATTAAATTCAAAACACAGTTTTTTTGTAACAAAAAAAAAAACATTTTTTACTTCCCCCCTTCTTCAAGTTGGCACAGCTCTGTCCAAACGCGCCCCATTCCCAAAACCTTTATGCGCCATTACCAATGACCATGAGACACAAGTCAGCCCATCCTTCATAATCCATTCAAGTGAATGACCTGGGCTTGTTTGGATTGACTTATAAGTAGCTTTTCAAACGTGATTTACGGAATACGAGGTAAGTATGTGAGGAGAGTTTTGTCTCAGCTTACGTGAACTTACTTAAAAGCCCGTTTTGAACGGAGCTCCAAACAAGCCCCTGACTTTTGCATTTGAAGGCGTGCGCTCTTTCAAGTTTCAAGAATGAGATTCCTCTAAAAGCTAAAAGGAGTGGTGGAAGTAAATTTTCGTGAAAAGTTTCAACTTTCAAGTAACCTCATGACTTACAATTGCAAAGCAAGCTCCTGGAGTTTTGCCTATTGATATTTCTTGGACCAAAAATAAAGCCACAGATTGTGACGGCTGCCACTCTCTACTGTAAAAACATTTTGTATTTTCAATCATATGGCTCTATCACTTTGGTGATGGCTGTTGCTCCATCAGCATCAAATGAGAAATGGAATTCAGGGCAGTACAATTTGTTTCACGTCACAGGGATGGGCCAACTTCAGCAGGAACGTGTTGTTGATAATTACAACACATTAAAAAAAAAAAAACTTGGGATGGATTCGGAATCCCCTTTTATCCCATGTGGTCCGGAAGCATTTCACTTGTGTCTGTCTTGACCTTCGTACCAACATTCTCTTTTGTCTTCTTCAATATTGGATTGCATTGTTCCCACATGACCGTAATATTATTCTTCCCCTTGTCACTTGCTGTATACCATTATTATCATTCTCATAACGCAGCAAAGATGCTTGACCTCTTGATCTACATCAGATCAAAGAATGTTCTGTTTCAAGAAGCAAATGGAAATTGCATAATGCGGCTTATATTTTTAGGCAAAATTATGTACACAAACCATTGTGACGTGTTATCACGAAATGAAAAATGAACTGTGGCCTTATCCAAATATACTCCGTATATTGCAGGAATATTTGGGCTATTCAAGTACTGTCAGTTCCCCCTGGCTCCATCCCTGCGGAAGTGGTGGTGCCGTGCCGAGTTATTCCTTTTTTTTTTTTTTTTTTACGGCCATCGACGTGCTGTGCAATGTCATTCATGTAAACTTTTTACCAAACGCAAAGTTGATATGATACATGAGCAACGCAATTACTCTTTGTTGAGTCATTTCTGCAGAAAAGATTATGAATCTGTACGGCTATAACTAGGACTGAACACAGGAGCTTATACCAGACCTGTATAATCTGAAGTGGAAATCTGTGCAACGCTCTTTAGATTTTACAATTTAGTTATTTACTGCGGTCTGCAATGCCATTCGCTTACCCAAAAAAAAAAAAAAAAAATCTTTTTCTTTTGTTTTTCTAAACACCTCACTGCATCCCTAATCAACGGACAATGCTAGCACATACCACCTTAAACACCTCTCAACTTTAATCCAAATCTTTAAAGTCAAACGTCTCATCTAAGTTGACCAGTCATCTCAACTTTCAACCGAATCTTGCATCTACTTTTTCTTGTGAATCTCTATGCGCTGGAAATCAATTTTTTTCAATCTGCAAAGGAGAGCTTAAGCAGACAACAACTTGTTTAAATCCATGGTAGCAGCATATCAGAAAGCACACTGCTAGTGATTACTATATGGTGCCTATATAGAAAAGGTGAAAAGGATCCATGCAAGGAGAAAAGAATAACTGAAAAAGTGAAAATATCTATTCACATACAAAATATATGGACCAATCGATTGGTGTAGTTATATAAGGATCTAAATTTTGGTACTGGTAAGGACTGAAATCATCAAGGGTTGAAAATGAGATTCCCACACTTGCACTTCCAACTCATTGGCTTGTAGTTTGAAGTTGTACTCTCATCTCCTCTTCCATAAGCAGCAATTGAAGTGTTCATCTTCTCCTTCTGGACCTGGGGATTCGTAGGTACCTGGATAGCCTCACAGTGACCACACCAGCTACACCTTCCCTCACATTTCGGTGGCCTCGAACCTATCCTCGCTCTCACACTTGTATCATCCTCACTAAGTACCACCTCCTCAGAACCATTCTGTTTCAGAGTTTTTCTACCTGTTACAACATGGAGAACAACAACATATAATTCTTTGTTCAAGCTCGCTTCAAAGCAATATCATCAGTATTGAAACTTGAGAATTTACCTTCAGTAACAAATCCCTCCTGGGTCCAGCTTGAAACTATTAGAAACAACAGAGAGAAGATAATAAAGCTGGGTCTGTGACCACAAGTAAGATGATGATCTTGCTCCATTTCAAAGAAACCAGAGGTGTGGAAAGAGGTAAGGGAAAGAGAGTGATGCGGAGGAAGTGAAAGATGGTAAATGAAGATATAGTAATGGAGAGAATGGGCAAGATGGGAGGTAGTAGCAAACGACAGTAATTGAATGACGCCATAATAATCAAATGTATATTGTTAAAATTGCGTTGAAGTGATGGAACATAAAATTAAAAGACAAAAGAGAAAATCGCAGAGGGGCAAGAAAAGGAGGATCCACGAAAAAGGAAACATCTATCCTTTGGGTGACGAGCCCTCTCTCAAAAACACACCAAGATTCATACAATAATTCAAGGAAAGGAGAAGCAGCACAAGAGATGATACAAAAAAGCGAGTTGCACACAGAAACAGCAAAAAGCCACAATTTTTACCCGATTTGATGGACAAGCTCCCACTAACAGACATGCATTTACAGCTGTTGATTTGGGATGTGTAATAACTTCTTCTGTGTGATTTTTTTCATCCCCATTTCAAAAGTGAAGTAATTGGTAGAGTGGGAAACTAGAAATGGTGTATCTGCTTTTAGGATTTCTTGTAGTTTGTGATGTGAGCAGTCCCAGGTTATCACGCCATATCCCTCTCACACTCTGTGGGAGAAAGAGAAACAACATAAAGTGATTCTTTTGTTATCCTTTCAATCTATCATTATGTAATCAAATGAGTCGATGTTGTTAAAGTCTGATTTCATGAACAGCTTTAGATTTCAGACATACACATCCTCTTCCCTTCTGCTCTTACTGCTACTACGAAGGAATACGGAATTTTTATTAATAGGCTACAAACAGTTAAAAAAAAAAATTTTCCAAACGTTATATAGTGAGAATTATTTTCCCAAAAAAAATTTAATCAAGAGAATATACTTTAGTTAGAAAAAAATTAAGTTTCAAATTGAAATAAAACGTATACAATATTTATAAAACCGCATACGTACCAATATTGCTGAAAGAAAGTGTGGAAGGAGAAAGAAGTACGGAAAGAATCAGAGAACTTGAGAAGAAATGGGAAAAAAAAGAAGGCAAATTTAAGTGGGAAATGCATACATTATATACACAATAATGAAATGAATACTATGCACCCACATGGCAAAAAATACTTGCCAAGCATCAGCTGAGGACACTTCGAATGACTACCCTCTACAATCCTATACTGATAGGAATATTTGAGGAAGGAAATTAACCACGTCCATGGGCAGTAGCTTTGCATGTGGATTAAAAGAAAAGAAGCATGTAGAGTCTAATCAAACAAAAAAAAAGAAAGAAAGAAGCACATGGACTCTAAATGAGGAAAGATATAAGTAGAGGACAAATGGATTCACTTTTTTGACGTGGGTTCTATTAAATTTGTTCAGACCAAAAACAAGTTTCGTTTTGTGATGTGAATCTCACTGAACTCGTTCTTAATCTAAATGAGTTCTATACAAATTTAAACTCGATCACGGTGAGAACAATTTTCAGATATAGCATCTCGACAAATTTATTTTTATTTCAATCGTGCTCGAGTAAATTTTTTTTTTACTATTTATCATTTTGGGTAAAAAACCCAAGGGATACCGCTGCTTGCAAAGTAACATAGCAATGATAACTACCTCGCTCTCGCCCCCGTCCCTTTTTTCCTGTCACTATCTCCATTTTTGGTGTGGCAAGAAACATGACCTTAAAGCTCAAACTACTAACAGTTCTCACGCGATACCGATCTAAAGAGTTTGACCTCAACGGAGGTCATCGCTAATCGGAAATTTCATTTATGAAGAAACAAGCAATACGTAAAGGCCTAAGACACCAGCCCATAGCGTCAGTGGACTCAAAGGACTGCGCTTTCGACACAGCCCTTTTACTTTCGCTATGTCTATAAACCCAAATCCGTTTGAAGGATTGCCTAATAATGCCTAATACAAAAGTGCCCAATGTCCTGCTAGCCTGCTAGAGGTCAAGGAGAATGACACATGACCATGGGAAAAATTAAGAATCTTCTCTTGCAACATGCATAATAGAAAATCATGTTTTATATCGTTCTAATGGTGATCGAATGTTGATCATTCTAATTTTAAGTAAAAAATGCTCATAATTTTGGCAACAACAAAAAAACAAGTAATTCAAACTTATCTCAAATAGAGATAGGAAGAGGGGGAGATATAAAGGAAAGAGGAAAATTTTAAATAAATTTAATGTTATTTTTTGTTTATTTCAAAAGTATTTTATCATCTTTTGAATAGAAACGTTGAAGTTGACTGTTTATAGCATATTTTAAATAAATTGCTATAAGATATTGTTAATTGTATTATAAGCTTTAATTTCTTAGCTAACAAAAAAAATTTTAATTTCATAATATGCGTCTTAAAACCACAGTATTCTCTCCATACTCCATAGGTTAAAAAAACTGTTGACGGCAGGGGCCAAAAACGAAATAAAAACCTGTTAACCTGCTATGATAAATTTAAGGTTTGATGTTTATCCCAAAAAAATTAAGGTTTGAGATGGATTTCAAATTCAACTTTTCAAGTGAACATGCATATTTGCAATATATATATATATATATATATATATATGCGCGCGCGTGTGGGTGTGTGTGTGTCCAATCAAACAATTGGAGAAACTGGATAATTATTAAAAATATTGAGATAAGGGTTTGGACGTCTTAATTGATGTGAAACAGCCCCACTGTCCCCGGGGATATATGAAAGTGGTTAAGAAGTACACATCAAATTAAGAGAAAGAACAACCACTATTCAATAATCTTTATCTGTTCTATATGACCAGTGGTGGATAAGGCACAAACCATGGTATGAGAAGGGCTATTAATATATTTAATCACATCAAGAATTAATTAAGTTGCTGTTTTAGGTTACGACTGGGGAAGTAGTCCAACCAGAGAGCAGCAGCAAGAAGATTTGATCGTATAGTATCACATTGGAACTCAAAACCTCAAGGCCCGTGAGTTTATGTGTCCTTCCATTTTTTGTATCTCTCATCAAACTCTTTATCTGATGTTTACATGAATTTAAATAGAGTTGGACCCGATAAAAGATAGATAAAGTAATTAAAAGGACTTGCACTTACGGCCTTAAAGTTTCAGATTGAGAAATGATGTCGATTCAACTTATATATATGCTCGATCCTCTTATTACGCCCGGCCCGGTTCAATTCTCCCCATTTTTGAGATGGTCCTTGAAACTCAATGATGTCTTTACTATTTTAGAATTCAATCTGAATTAGTGAATAACATTACATACCAAATAATATCTTTGAAAAAAGACATAAAAAAAGAAAAGGTCTTTTCTTATTGGTGGACATCTGTCTTGTTCAGGTCGACATCTGAATGGCAATCCAATGAGCAAGTGGTGGAAGGAAGGAAAAGGATGGCTTCTGCTGCAGATACAACAGATCCATGCACATCACTCATATTCAATCATGTTGGGTCCAAGACACAGGCACGCCAATGGTTTTATAATAGGTGGGGTCTCTGCCCGTTTGGCGCATGCTGGGAAAATGAAATGTGAGATTCCAAATTCCATTCACGATATGAATATATATAGCTGTTTGCTTATGTACTGAAACTAACCCATGCATTTCAAGTTTGATCTATATATATTGTTTAATTCCCAACTACACCAATGACTCATCTGTATTATATTCTCAAAGCCTAGCTGATATTGACACACAACCAGGTCTCAAACTCATCTCTATTCATAAAATTGAAATCCAATAATCATCTGTCTGCCAGAGTCCAAGGATAAATTCTGGCTTCAGAACAAGTTCTTGCCATTACAGGGGGTTGTCAAGCAAGCTCATGTGCTGACTGGCTACAGAGAAATAAGCAGATTAAAGCTCAAGAACGGCAATTTGGTGTGTTGAATTAATGGAAAATGGTAACATGCATGGCAATTATAGAGGGAAAGGCGTACGAGTCTGATGAATCTAATCAAACCCAAAAGTGGGCTAGAAAAAACGAAACCTGACAAATATGTTCCTCCGTATATTCATGATGTCTGTCCTAAGTAAATGAAAACATTAATCATTTTACATTAAATGGTACAAAATTTTTTAATTATATCCTGTGGAAAGCAAATACAAAATTTTATTGTTCAGTCAAGCTGAGATTCCAACAAAAACCAGAAATATGTTTTGTAAGTAGAGACTGAGATATGATATATCCCTTCAAGAGGTAGCTGTCGCCCTTTGTCTGTTTTGTCTCTTGGTAGTAATAAAGTGAATGGACGATTCCCTTCTTTTTTTTTTTGGCTTCAAGGTTTAAGTCATTATTCGTTTTGTACATAATAAACAAAGAAGCACATATCAGATAAATTGACCTTATTAGAGAGGACGACACACCTTTCTTATCCTTGGCACTTTCTGAAGAGAAATTTGTGACCCTATTATATACTTTTATTGCGATGAGAATTGAGTTGAAATAAAGAGAAGCTTTCTTGTCTTTATTCATTTTTTTCCCCCAATAAATGCTTCAACAGTGACATGTTATTATAAAAGGGTTTTCGACTTTCCGCTTTACTTTTCTCATCAGAGTTAGCTATATTTATCTGTGTACAGCTGGAATGAATAATGGCTATTAGCAATCAAACAACGTTTTTCACACTCTTGGCTATTGCCCCACTAATGACTAAACCTTCCTGATTTTCCAGTTTGAAGATTGAATAAACATTCATTAATTAGCCTGCAATTAGTTACGCCGATGAGTTTAAATACGTAATTTTCATGCGTGCTTTTCTTCGACTATTAACATGTTTAGAAGCTGAAAGATACTGACACTGATTATTAATTTATTTCTACACTTTACTTTCTCCACTAGTATGTTGTTAAAGTGAAAGAATAAAAGGGCTACTTTATAATTATAAGAAGATAGAAGCTCTCCCGTATTAATTTAAGGGACAATTACGAACCCTCATGCACACACACACATAAATTAAAGAAAACTTGCACACACACACTACTTACAAAACGTTGAGGTGGTGTCACTGTAGCATTAATGGCATCTTTATTTTCTCTATGATCTTAAAAAGGAAGAATTAATCTGGGTTTCCACACCCGGAACGCCAACTTTTCATTGGAAAACTTAACAATAATATGTTGAGGAGGAATGAACTATGATTTTATCAATTGCACAACCATTTAACTTGTTTTAAAATTTGGCGCAAAATAAGTTTAATTAAGTGGTCCAAGTATTGGAGTGATAGGAGCCGTGGAATCGAAATCAATCAACCTCTCTGTAGGCTGTCCACAGATGTTTCTTCGTAGGGTAGTCCAGAACCCAAATAATGGAGAGAGTTCCTCTGTCACCAACCAGGCCCTTTGTTTTGACCTCTCCCATTTATTGTCATTTGTCATTCCCACACCTATTCCCTAGGCCCTGTTTGCGTTTACAACATCCTACAAATTTTACAAAAATAACAAGCAAATTAACTATTGAAAT